TGGCTCAGCAAGAGTGTCCCTGTGTGGCCTTGCCTCGGGCTTCCTGAGATGAGTCCACCTAGCTCCAAGGGCTGTCCAGTCTGCCTCTCCCCTGAGAAGTGCCCCAGTCACAGGTGAGCCACACCAGTCATCCCCCAAATCAGGCAGGGACGTTTCTTCCTTGACTAGATGGGGTAAAAAGAAGGAAGCAGGGAAGGATGGAGCTGATGTGGTGGAAAGGGCAAAACATTCTGTGGAGACATGAAGTGATCCTCACCTTAGCAACTCTGGAAGCCAGGCAGCATTCTCTTTCAGAAGGTTCGTTTAAAAAATAATAAATTAAAAATAATTTTTTAAAAAAGCAAGAACAGAACCTGCAGCATTGCTGCTCATTCACATGAGCAACATGGCTCCTATGGCTGAGAACCAATCAGTCAGGCAGCCTGAAAAGAGTGAAGACACTGTCCTTCCCCCACAGAGACCTTGAAACTTTTGCTGAGGTACTGCTGATATGTCTATGTGAATAAGCCCCATGGTCTGTGAGGACCCTTTTCTTCCAAGAGTCAGGGGATCTAGTTAGGTTGTAGCATCATCCATCAGGTGGGATCATCTGGGGAGGAGGGCAGTGGGTCATGCAGAGTACTACAGAGCTGGACTACACTGAGTCAGCCTACACCACAGAGGGAGGTTCAAATGTGCTCTCTAGGATCCAGCTCTGGCAGGGTCAGAGCTGTACACTTTTGTACATGCGCAGTCTGGAATTTTACCTTGGCTCCACAGCACCCGGCCAGGTGTTCTTTGGTGGTTTGCCTCCTCTTCCTCTCTGTTCAGCTTCCTACGTCTGTACAGAAATCTACCTGACACCTGTGTCTGAGGCTGTAGTGAAACTTGGCAGAGAAAAACAGCTGGCTGTGAGCATTCTCTCTGACCCAGAAGAGGCACCCAGAAGAGGTAGCTTTGAAACTGCTCAGGAATGAGAAAGCGTTTATACTTAAAGCAGCCAGGGACATGGATGTGGAGCTGGCTGAGCTTTCTCGTTCTTTGGGATGCTGCTGCTGGGTCCTGCAGGTGGAAGCAAATGCAAGTCACAGCTGGACCTGACTCCATCACCAGGGTAGAGATTATATCCACGAGCCACGCATCCAAAACAAGACAGATAAAAGAAATGAATAAGCAGTCTTTAGAGGGAAGGTTTGGACATGAACACACTTTCTTCGAGCCTGTTTTCCTTCACACACTCTGCAGCTGGAAATGTCAAGAGGATGTTATTTTCGGAAACCCAGGCTCAGTGTATGTCCTGGACCCTACACTATAGCCCTGCTTTTGTGACTCAAAGTTTTAAAGAAGTAGGGGTAAGGGAAAGTCTGGAGACTGCTCAAACTGACCTGTTCCCACACAGGAAAATCTTTTGAAGAGGAGGGAAGCCTTACTTTCTTGCAGACAGTATTAAGTTCCCACAAAAGCCATGAGTTAGTCACTGGCTCTCCCTTGATTTCATCCACTTTCTAGTTAAGATAAGTATGGCAATAAAGTCTTCATTAGAAACTTAATACTCTAGTTTTAAGAGGAAAAAAAATCAATCTAATTACCCAAGAAGGACTACAGATGTTTTAGAAAACCTAACCAGCTTGGTTTTGCCTACCTGCTTTACCTAAAACTTCAAGATAGAGACCAAGTAAAGCCTTACCATGGGTTGTTTATTATGCCAGACCATCAGGTTCCTGTTCAGAGCTTCCTTGATGAGCTAATAAATGACACTCCCCCCAAACACCTATACACACACACACATACACACACACACACACACACACACACACACGCACACACACCAGCTAGCCTTTTGTCTTGTCAACAGTGACTCAGTTCCTTTGTTTCTAGATCTTGTCATCAACGAACCCACAGTGAGCAGCCCATCTAGAGAGGAATTTGTTTTATCTCAGTATTTAGAGAATCCCATTAGAGCCCGGCATCTGGACTGTAGGGTTTCCATCAAGGCTTCTTGTCCATCACATCAGCCTTGAAGCTGTAGCTGCATTCTGGGGTTGTTTGACAGTTAAGCCTCTCCTAACCTCCAAACTGGCTGTCTGTAGTCTCTCTTCTCTGGGCTCCAATACACAGAGCCCATTCCCAGCTTCAGATGCTGTAGACAAAAGCAAACAGACGGCTGATGGACCAGAGCAGCCTCTTCCCATCTAGATATTTTGCTGACTTCCAGCAGAGCAATCACTCACAGAGGACACACTGGGGATCAAACAGCAGTCAACATCTAGAAAAGCCACCACAGAGTAGATCTGGAAGAAGGAACTCCAGACGAGGAAACAGACTCAATAATGCATCTTAAAACTCTAAGCATCTCCAAATGATGTGGTCGCAAGTTAGGTATCAAGGGTCTTTATCTGTTTTGTTGTTGTTTGTACTTGGTTTTTAATTTTTTTTTCTGATCTCCAGTTTTACTTTTTTGTGGAGTTAGGTTTCTGAAAAGCCTAATATTTGCATAAAGAGAGGCAAGCAGGGAGCAGTCATACAGCTGCATATGTTTGGAAGACATGGAGCTGCCTCTCAGATTAGCTCCTGCATCTTTGCTTTTTATTCCTCAAGTGGACACTCTCTCTGACCCAAAGAACTTGGTGATGAGGGTCAGTTCATGTTTATGCTTTGAAGACAAAAAAAGACCAGAAATGGCCACCATTTCCTTTTCTATTTTCCTCTAAAACCTTGTTAATCTTTGAAAATGAAGAACTTTTAAAAATACGTAATATTCTCAGTTCATGAGAGGAATGTATCCACATTTCTACCATGTTAAATGTTAGCTGAGTTTATGCTGGGCTGTCATATTTCTTTACTTTATCCACCAGTGTACAAGCCGTCGATCTCAACATCTGGTTTTTAATAACCCTCGACATCTGGGAGCTCCTTTTTATTCCTATGGTGGATGAAGAACAGTAGTGATATTGGCAGTGTATATTTTCAAGCTACAACTCCTGTCTGTTTCAATCATAATTAATTACCACTCTTTAATATATTTAATTTGCTAAAAGTGATTTGCATTAGACCGCAGTTCGCTGTTAGGAAAGTAGTGGCAGATTTTGGTGGCATTGGCTTTTCTTTCTTCTCCTTTTGAAATTGAAGCCCTACATGAATGGACTTGGAACAAACTCCACATAAATGTGCTGTTGTGTTTTAAATGCAAAATGAAATAAATTGCTCTGCAAGCAAAGTTATTTGACAGCCATTTAGAAAGCGGTCAGCAGGGGCTGTGGGCTGCATTTTACAGAAAACCTCCAATATTGTTTTGTAACTGGCAAATTGTAGCATCTTTCTGTGCCTGGGAATTTTCTTAAAGAACTGATATTGGGGGGTCAAGAGCCTTATGATGAAAGTCAGGGCCTCTATTCAGAGAATATGTTTATAGACATACCCACTGAAATTCTGCATTGAGTCTTACAGCTTGCTAGGTCCTCAAAGCTTCCTTAATACTGCCCTGGGCTGTCCTGCTGGAAGGTTTAAAAAGGAACATCAAGTTTGCTTTTCTCCAGAGATAGAAAGTTCAGCTAGTGTCAGAGCGCACTTTTCTCAGTCCTGTAGGGATAAAGAACTGTATTGCCAGAATACTGGCTAGGAAGTACATATACTCCTCCAAATCGATCTCTGTACTTGCTTTCTGCAAAAGAATTTCTGAAGGTTCATACTGACTTATCCCGTTCAAATGCTCTTGATTGACTCAGGTCCCATGGGGGATCCTTGTGTTTTCTGAAACACTGATGCTTTTGGCAGTCTGAAGTCTCTGGACCTTTTCTCAAAATAATATTTTCAATGCATAAGAGAAACAAAGTTAAAAAAAAAAACTGTATTGGGAATCAGTTCAAAGAGTATACATATAAACCCTAAAGTAGATAAAAATTACCTTGGCTTACCAAAGGATATGAAAGCACATATTGAATTGTGTGAAATTCCTGGTTTCAGAGGTCTAGGATAGTGGTGTTTCCATATACCCCAACCTACTACTCCCTCCAACACCTTCCATAGTACAGATCCAAGTGTGGAAAGTGTTCCCAGTTACTTTCCTCCTTACTTCCAGTTTTCAAAACAAAGATGCAACTCTGACCAAGTCCACTGTCCTTGGTGAGTAGCTCTCAGAAGATGTGTGGAGCCAGCATGTGGACACTCCAGCTCACCTGCTTGTTTAGATGCACAGCTGTGACTTGGCCACGAAGCATATACTACTGTCTACAAGAATTTTATTTCCCTGCTTATTGGCCACTTCTCTAGAAGTTATCCAGAGCCATTTTGGAAACATAGTCAACCAGAATTCAAACCAAACTAGTTTCTGTTTATCCATGGCTGCACACAATGTTAAATTAAACAACATCCTTTCTACAAGCGTTCTGCTGAAATGAAAGTTTACACTTTTAAACTTTTTATTGTAAAATCAGTCTTTCAACGTATGTACACCTTTCTCCATGAGCACCAAATAGAGGCCAACAAGTATGACTGCAGTGTGCTGGAAACATTATAAAATAACCAGTGTGAGCTATTGCATGCTAAAGAGCTTATTCCACCTAAGTAAATAGGTTTTTTCTTAATTCTTCTTCAGCTTTTATTGATACTTTAAGCTTAAAAGAAATTAAGGGTATTTGATTACTATAATTACTTCTCTGCTTACTTTAAAGGCTTAATCCACCTTAGGCATATGCAATTCAGATTGCATGCTTTCCAGAAAAATAATCATCTGCTAATATAGACTAATTTTAATCTCCTAATCCAGCCTTGACAGAGTCACAGCTTGAGTAGGTGGAATGTTTTTGTGTGGGGTTGCCATAGATACAAAACTTGGTTATGCATTTGACACGCCAGTGATGTGGAACTTAAGTTACTATGGAGTTTTTTCCCATACTCTTTAAGATGAAGCAGAAAATGCAGATTCTTGTGCCTTTCCATGCATGTCGGTGTGACTAACCTTCTCTTCTTTCATTCTGGCGCGCCTCCTCTCTGTGCACCTCCCCACCTCGGGCCGGCCGCAGGATGACGAGGAGGGCATATGGGCATAGCCGGGCCTGTAAACCAAAGTTCCAGTTTTGTTTTGAGGGGTGAGAAACCATCTTTTCTATCATTTTTCTTAAAAAAAAAAAAAAAAGAGTTTGCATTCTAGTGTTGTATTGTGTGTGTGCTCAGTTGTGCTCGCTAACGTTTGTGGTTGTGCCCTGTGTTTGCTACCGTGTTCCATGAGCGCAGAATGGCCGCGTGCTCTGACCATTCCCAAGAACCCAGACCCTCCCACCTTGCCTCCCCCCTCCTACCCTCACCACATTGTTGCTCTGCCTTGTTGGGGCTGGGTTTAGCACGATCCAAATGTTTCTGTGTCTTTCAGATGTAAACTGTGCCCTTAGGATTCATGTACACTCTTCTAAGGCATGATTGTAGACTCAAAAAAATGTCGCAATTCTGCAGTCGTGGTTTGCAGCCGACTGCTTGCTTTACCAGCTATACCAGTGTGGCGTGACTCTCATGTCCTTCTGGTTGTGCCAAATATTTGGCGAGGAATAAGGAAAACAAAAGTATGTATCTTCATGAAGCTGAAATGGTCATCTCTAAGAAGCCTATTGAATGGATTGTACTGTCCCTTCTGTGGTGGTTCTGAAGAAGACACGAGGATCAAGGCATAATCATGGTGAATGTATAACTAACTCTTGCAGTAGGTTAGAATGGATGTGTTGCTACAGGGGGTCTTAGTGGCATTTACTCTGTGGCTTTGATTAAAACTTGAACTTCTAAGGCATTTGCATTATTGATTATGTGCATTGCATTTTATAGAGGGCTCCTGCCTTTTTTCAAAGCTGATCTTGGCAGTGAAGAACCCTCCTTTTATTTTACTTTGTTTTGTCTTCTTCACTGTGATTGAGTAAGGGTGTATATAAACACACACAGTCAGAAATGGAACACTGAACTCTGCCTGCTAGGAATTGTTCTTCTCCAACACAGTAAGAATGTTTACCACCAAGCCAGAACTCCCTGGAGTTTAGTGTGCGTATGGTGACATGGATATGCTGTTGAACTTGATGACACTGCATATGACATTTTGTTCAGAACAAGAAACGTGGTAGACTTTGTACTGGGTAATTTTTTTCTGGTCAGAAGGTATTTCCCATGCTGATCTTTGTTCTAGGATAAACATGAACTATCACAGTGCTAAGGAACCAACATTGAGACAACTCTTAGAATAATTAGATGTGTGTATTTTCTCAAATTCTGCCTTTCTGTAGCATGGCAGTGCAGTCCATGAAAATTTAACCCCAAACTGGTATGTTTCACCCTTGGGTGTCAGTTTCACTACTGTGTTTCACTTCTTTGTTGAACCTACTGTAAGTCTCATGCATGTGCCAGTTGGCTTTGATGGTTCTTGTGGCAGGAAATGTATAGGCACTAGTTTTGGGGTAGGGCATCTGTAAGCACAGTAAAGATGTCACCCCAGGAGCCATGTCATACCAGTAAAACCTACCATTCAGAGTTCTTGTCTCTTCTTCCTGAGTAAATGGGGAGGCAGTACTGTCATGAACACTCTAGATGCTGAGGAGATCAAGAGGAAAGCTTGATAAGGAGGTGGTGACACCAGGGTACCACCATAGGCAAGAGTCAAAAACTTAACAGCCTCTCCAGGGAAAACAGGAAGACATAGCATTGGAAAGACTTGACATAGGGAAGCAAATAAAATATATACTTACCTATGATAATATTAAATAGAAAGGGTTTTTAACATTGAAAAGCAAACAGAGAACATTTACCAGCAAACACACCAAGAAAGTGTAGGCACAGGAAGGCTCCACAGGTTTGGGAATGGTCTTATGAAGGGGCCTGGCACTTGGGGCTCTTCTGTGAAGTGGTCTTTTGCAATAAGCAAATGTTAGGTAGCTATGCTGTACTTGTGTCTCTTCCTGAATGATGACTGCTCTTTCACAGGATTTAGGACATCTATCCTGATGTTTCCTGTGCCCCTCTCAGAACAGAACCAGCTCTAAGACCCATAGAAAATCTTATTTGGATCAAAGCAAATAAAGAGAATAGTGTTAAGTCCCTATCCCTTTATTGCTCTGTTAAGTTCCCCAAACACTGTGCATCCCAGAAAACAACTGTCTTCAGAAAATTCAGATATAATATTCTACTTTAATATGTTATAATAAATTTTTATAGACTTCTGGGGGAAACTTCTGTCTTTCTTTGGGACTCCTTTAAACAAGTGTGCTCAGACATCCTCAGACTTTTAAAGCTGTATCTTTAAGAGTTGAAATAATGAGGTAGTAGGGTAACCTTCTATTTTTGAACAACTATCACATGTTTCTGGTTGTATTACAATCTCTGAGGCCTAAAGAGACATTAAATTTATAACTAGAGATGAATAATAATGGTTCATTAAAAACTAACTGTTTTGAATGCTTTGATTTATAGCACTTATAAAAGAAACATTACAACATGCTCTTTGCGTATGCATCAGTTATATGCTCATCACAGCATCAGAGGACTTCACTTGAAACTGGGGTCCTGGTGCTGAAATGAATCATAATTTAAGTCAAATCGCTCTAGAATTTATAACAAATTGGAATTAGTATATCAGCCCAGCAGCTCCTCCTTCTATCGCCACTTCGAAATGGGAGGCCCCGGCCTGATTTATTTGTCTTCCTGTGATCATCCAAGAGTGGTATTTTATGAGAGCAAAGTGTACTAGGGAAGTTTGCTTTTCTAAGGAGTTTCAATGGTCCCTAGAATTAACCTTGCTCCACCTTTAATCCTCATGGTCAAACCTGGCTTCATCAGTCGGTGGTCTGTACACTCCAAGGGCCCTGTACTTCGAAGGGTTGGATCCACTCCTAGTTTAAGGTCTATGTCACCACTGTGAGATGCTTAAGCTTTCCCAACCATGGGTTCTACGTTTTCATTTTGCAGTGGATTCCACAAAGAGCAAAGTCAGGGCAGCTTGTGCATAGCATGTATTCCTGCACGCTCTGACTAGTTGCTGCTCTCTGCTCACCCCCCCCCCAACAGTTGGTTCAGCCTCCCTGTTTCCTTGTACCTAGGAACTACCTGGCAATGCATTTCCAGCAAGTTGTCCTTGTGGGCATTCCTGTGGTGTGTGTTTGCAACCACCGGACTTTCCCCCTCAATACATGCACTTTGAAGTGTGAAGATGTGTGGAAGGAGCCTTAACTACATCATCTCCCTTATTTCACAAAGTTAGAAAAGGCAGCTGTTCATTTCTACATTGATTTCCTTAGGGAAACCCCCTGGCGTGACAGGCTTAGGCATCAACCAATAACTCTTCATCTTCATTGAATGAAGGTGCTTTTCTTAGGGTCTTAAGTAGTGCTTTTGTCTGTAAACACTCAAGGAAATGGGACACTAGGAGACCAAGTTAGGGTACCTTAAGACCTACTGCCACATTTGCTTTGAGCCTAAGTTTTTTGAACTCTTGCTATCTTATAATTGAGCATGCAGAGGTCATCGTTTTTATTTCTTAAATCATCAGAAAGACACACCTTTCTCTATTGAAAGCATATGTGATAAAAAAAAAAAAAGAAACACAAATGCAACATTAGCAAGTTCTGGTGTGGGATCATGGCACTAGTAGAAACATCTTGATGCAAATGAAGAATGGGAGCTGTGTGACATGCTCAACAGACACAACATTTAAACGTAGGCAGAGGATTTTACACACAGAAGCAGGGGTGGGTTAGGGGAACTCACAGCACATCAAAAGGTATCTCACTGCAGTTGTGGAGTTCATATAGTCCTTGCTTCTCCCTGCACACAGAAGGCCCATGCTTATCCTGGAGTTGGAGAGATGGAGTGGCTGGAAGCAAGTCTTGCAAGCAGCCTCTTGCTCCTCCCCTTCCTCTGGGGTTTTCTCCCCTGCCTCTGCTGATAAAATACTTGCTGCTGCTTCTGTTTGGCTTAGATCTCTGGCTATTAGGCTGATCTACCTAATAGTTCTACCCTGAGTTCTACCCTGTACCATTGGATATTAAGACATTCATTCATTCATAAGTTTGCTTTTACTTATTCATCAAATGGTTAAGTTCTTGGTTACCTGCAAGGATAATAATGGTAAATAAAGTAAATGTAACGATCCCCTGTGAATCTTACCAAGTAATTAAGAAAAATAGAACATAAATGATTAAACACGTTACTGGTTATCTTACAAAATCTGATCATTGCTTGGGTAGAAACCAGGAAGATACTGATTGTAAGAGGACCTCATTGGACAAGGGTGTTCTGTGACTTTCCTGTAAGAAAGTGGGTTTTAAACCAGGTCTTGAAAGAATCAAAGTATACCATGCATAAGTATGTGTTTATGCAGTAGGTACAAGCAGGTACACAGGGAGCTGGGAGCAGGCCAACCTTTCTGGAAAGCATTTGAGTGGAACACAAAACAGAGATTACGGCAGAGAGGTGGGAAAGGGCCAGACAGCATAAGACCGTTAGGGCCAAATAAAAGGTTCAGACTCTAGCCTGAGAAAAATGAGTAGACACTGGAAGATCTTAAGCAGGGCCATGACATAATTCACTTTTTGTTGTAGATGGACAACAGCCCTGGCTGCTATGCAAAGGCCACATTTTCCTGGCAAAAAAAAAAAAAAAAAAAAAGCAGAAGTAGAGTCCATCCTATCATCTGAGAGAATTGATGTTTCTGACCCAGGCAGCAAGCAGTGCAGATGCAGACAAGTGTACAAATGGGAGAAAAATACTAGGAAATGAAGCCAGGAGGACTGGATGAAGAGGTCAGATAAAGGATGAAAGTTTGAATGCCTCTATATCTATCAAAGCTACAGAGGCTTTTGGACGGCGGAGGGCTGGATAGGGATCCAGGACTCCTTTTTTCTCCAGGCGTCCGATCATTGTGGCCAAGGCACATCCATGTAGGCTTGTGACCTGTGCTCTTTACCATTTGCCTGTGTAGCAGCATATGGGAGTCTTTGGGCTCTGGTTATAGTGAAATGCAAGCTGAGTTTAAAGTATGGCTAAAGTCCAACTTTAATTCCATGGCTTCTCCCAAGGAAAGGAGAGACCTTAGCTACTAATGATTGTGAAAACGCAATAC